CAACTGGACAACAGATCACAAAATTGAAAGGAGTCACATACTGTGTGATTGCTGAGGCGTTTGTGTACCGGCAGAAGGACTTCTACGAGCCACTGGGTTAGTTTGTGGTAGGGTGAATCACGCATGGACAATATGGACCGTAAACGGAGAGATGGTTAGTGTGTCTTTGGTAGCCCGTAAAGAATCGGTGTATGAAAACCTATGGCTTTAGTTGTTTAATTTGTGTCTCAGTGATAAAACCATATAGCATGAGAATTTGTAACTCACGTATTATCTGCTTCTCTATCAATTGAACATTATCCGGGGCGAGGTCTGGTTTGAACTTGTGCTTATCATCCAAGATTTTCATGATTTTGGCGACGTATTCATTCTTGTCCACGACAACTACGCCATGCCCCTTGTCAGGTTTTAGCACTATCAGATTTGGACTGCTCTGTAGTTCTTTCAGCGCTTGATAATGTCCTTGTTTCATCATGCAATTTTGGTGAAAGGGACTGTGAAGGAAGCTGTGGGAGAGGTCTACCAGCTTGGCTTTAAGCCAGTTTCGGTTATCCTCGTTTGATGGGAGCAGGCCCTCGAGTTGCTCATTGAGACGCTCGAACTCTGCTTGGACGTAAATTTTATCGATACTAACTATCAATACTAACTGGATTTGTTAATGCGTTTCATTTATCTATCTTGTTCGATGTTATACGTACGCGACCGATGAGATTATATGAAAGGAATTCCTCTCTCAGTGTTTGTCTTCTGACTTGCCTGTACAAACATAAAAGCCTGTCCCCACTGTGGCCCCATCGTCTCGATGCAACACAATGTGACAGATTATAGTTGGAGGTCTCACGAAGGACACGGGGAAATCAATTTAAATTTTTAATCATAATTGTTCCGCACTTTTAATTCTGATTTGTTAAGGGTTACCAATCATTTAATCAGGGTTACCCTAATCACACCACGGTCAAAAAAGCTTAAATGCTTGCACAAATTAATAGTGGAGACGAATGTCGATTTCCTTCATTGTGGCAAGAATTTAAAACCACGTGTGCCTCGGCGCTCCTTTTCAACTCCATACGGGGATCGGGACAATTGTCTACATGCGTGGGTTCGGACAGACTTCGAGTAGTACCCGACAGAAAGCTAGCCTCGAGTAAGATGGGTACAGGTTCAATGAATAAGCGGCCGCGATAGAGAAGCGCCGGAGTTCGAGGAAATAATCGGTTTTCAAATACTAACATTATTTTGCACAAAAAATAAACTATTGGAGTTTGACGACAGTACCAGGACCCACCGATGATAGCAACATGGCCCCGATTTTCCAGTTTTATCTATTCAAAAAGGCTTTCTAAACTTTTTGCCATCACATTTTACCCAAACAAAGCAGTCCTTTAGCCTTGATCCGTAATTCGTTAGCTGAAACCTGCAATGCTCTGGTGTTCATACCAAATATGTTAGCCTTCACCCATATCCCTCTATCCTCTACCCATAATTATTTAGTCAGGACCCGTAGTCCTTTAGTCTCGGTGCACAAACTTTAGTCATACCACTGGAGGAATGATGTGATGTCACCAAATGTTAAAAGACATCTTATTCTCTAGAAACGTTGATGTTGCAAAGCTTGATAAAGAAATGACGCTTGGCGATCGCTCGCTGTACCACATATTGATTGAAGAAGTTTGAAAATGCGTGCCCATATAGTCAAACCATACGTACAGCGTCAATGTGTCCGTGTAACATGTAATACTTCTGTAAGTAAAAACCTCACATGTAATGAAGAGTATCAAAGGGGGTATCTTTTGTGATTGGCGTTTACTATTCTTGATCTAATAATATACGAACATCTCAAAAACAGTGAAAATATGGAACTGTACGCAATCACTGTTTTGTGGTATCACGTTCTGATTTATTTCACGGCTTGTGAGTGCAAAACAATGTACTGTTTGTATGACACTGGAAAATTTTACTCACTGGAGTATCGTATGTGAGGCTGCACGCGATATGTGTCAAATGGTTTGACGATACGGGCACATCGTTTCAACCACTTCAATCAACTTGTAGTGCATCGAGCGACTGTCACATCTCATTTATTCCTAATCAAGCTTTGCAACATCAGCACTTGTGAAAAATAAAACGTTTTAAACTTCGCGGACGTCAGATTACATTCCGATACATTTGGATCTGACCCATCTGCAGTGTATAGCTCAAGTTTGTGTCTAGGCTAAAGGACTATGGGTCCTGGCTGAACCATATCGGGTTTTGTCCAAAGGAATACGGATCGAAGTAAAGGAACCCGCGAGTTTTGGGTAAATCTTGGTGGAAAAAATGTATGGAGCCGCCACGAATGATTCCAAATGTGGGCAGTGTAGTTGAAACTTTCCGAGCACTCTCTAAGTGCGGTTTTAAGCGTTCCGCATTTATCAGTTATTCCCCAATATACTGTTCAGTTGAAGTAAATCGAATTATTATCTGTGTATTCCTCTTCTACCTTAGCATTCGAAAAAATTACCGACCTAATCGACCGAACTTCCCTTTACCGTAACGCACTGACTAGGTAAATTATTCCCATGTGATACGTGGCATGTCTGTAGAACAATATTGCTCAAAAACCCCTTGATTCTCCGGAGATTTCTAAAGGATTAATTGCCTCATAGTTTGCAACATGGGGTACTGTTTATATATTCACATCTGATCACAAATTTGCTACTGATGTCAGACGAGTGTAGATTTTTCTATTATTTCAAATAGAACAAAGAGTGGCCGGGAAGCTAGTTTTCAGTGAGTCAGTCATGCCAAACGCATCACAATAAATATCACGCTGCTTACATATATGTGTAACAATATTCAAATATTAAAAAAGCAATTGTTTTGGTAAAGGAAAATATTACCATTGGTTATCTGGGGTTAATTCTCTCTTCGAACCGGATGTGGGATTCTCAACGATCACATAATTGTTAGGTCATCCGATCGGTGGGACCACTCGGGATACGAGTGGGTATGTGGGATGTGACCCAGGGTAGCTTAAGCGCCCGTACAAATTGTTTTTGGGCGAGAAGAGGTGTGTACAGACGAATTCCTACCGCTTCCGCTTTGGCCAGCATACGACATCAAACTTACCTAAATGGTCGACCACAAACCCGATACAGGGAACGGAATGTCTCGGTTACATTCACAGTGTGATGTGTTTCAACTAGTAGGTGTGAAATCATTGCGCTATCACATGCGACCGATATTTGTGGAAATAATATGAACACCATTGATTAGGAGATATTCAGTTACCAATAAACAGATACCAGTTTATTTGCCTTCACTAGTGTCCGTCTCTTGCTAAAAGTACAGATTCACGTTCCGCGGTTTGTCCATCATTCTCAATTAGATGAGATATGTCGTTTGACGGAAACCAGTGGTGAAGAGCACAAATTGTTGAATGTTGATGTTTAAACTATTGCACGGGCTAGGTGAACATGATTTTGGCACGATCCGTTTTCACATTGGGACGGAAAACAGGCATTCAAATCATCAATTAAGAAGACAATTATAGTATAAGACTGGCTGTGAGAGGAGAGTATTCTTGGGTGTAAAAAACGTGCTGTAGTATTATTCTAATCGGCATTATTACCTATTTAAGGTTGAAGTCATGTTAACCAAAAAAAGAAGATAAACAAAACAGGGTGAATCAACTGAATAAGATTGCTCAAAGTTTGGAATATATCCCATCCCAGTCGAACCTTGTCGGTCATTGGGTAATTATTCAGATGCGTCAATTTTACCACATGGCAAATATTTTTCAAATCTACTTGGTTGCACAAACTACTCTCACATCAACAAAGATGATATGTGCTGCTTGGTCCCATTTAGTACATTAGAGATTATCGGGGTAACCGTTTTTCAACGTGGATAAGCAAAATAGGGGAACCATTGAGGAAATGATTTTGGAAGTATAGTGGACCAGATAGATTCCTTTTATTTGACGAATTGTACCACGAGCATCGATTTAGGCATTAAAAACGTTTTATCACTTAAGATTGCCTAACTATTTGGCTATGCACCTCCAACACCGTCAGTTACGTACTCCTAAACGATTGCAAATCGCGGTTATTGTGTGATAACTGAGAAATAACAATGCAAAGTTATTTAATTTTTGTTGTCTTTGGTCAGCAATGCTCACATGTTGCCTCTCTTGCTCTCTGTCTCTCTGTCGAGTCTCGAATCCCAGTTTGATTTTTGTCTGGGATACATAATATTCCATACTCATTACTATCCAGCCTATCACTCATCACAGGAAAGGTGAAAGCAAAACTATTGACTTTGAGGAATTCATCACTAGGTGCAGACAATATTCAAATCATTATATGCTTGGTGAATCAAATATCCAGGCCACTAGTTATCCTACTCCAGAGGATATTCGATCACACTGCACTCCAACTGTCGTGGAAACAGGGAGTAATTTAATCCATTTGCAAAGGCGATTGCCGCAACGATCCCGCTAACTACAACCCTGTAAACCTCCTTCCAATTTCGTTCACTTTCATGAGGTCCACAGTAGCAAATTCCCTAATAGAACATCTATTCAAGCACAACGTTCTGTCACCGAATCAATGTGAATTCCGGAAAAAGCAATCATACGTGTCCACTTTGCTCATCGCCCGGGAAGGTGGTGAGGGCGATGCGGTGGACGGTATTTATCTAGACTTCTCAAAAGTGTTTCGATCGGGTGAAGCACGCAGTTCTCCTGCGAAAACTCTAAATACGGTAATCGAGGGCCTTATTTTTGACTGAATCAAAGCATTTCTTCAACCTCGGACCGTTTCGGTTCGTGTTTCTGATTCTTTTTCCAGTCCTATGGACGGTACCAATAGGGTGCCACAAGGATCTGTGCTTGGCCTGCGACTTTTCCTAATATTCATAAACGACATACCGAAGGTTCTGGGACCAAAATCATTACTGTTGGCAGATGACCCCAAAATTTGGAATACAGTGACCCAACCAGTAGGCTCAGTGGCAGCTCATCTCTGAGCTCTTGTGAATGATATTGAGTTCAACGTGTCAAAGTGTAAGGTTCTATCTATAACACATAAGGGGCGATTTTTGTATTTCATCGGAAATGAACAACTGCCACACTCATCAAGTGAGAAGAACCTAGGCATCATCATTCAAGAAAACTTAAGCTGCTCGCTCAACTGCTCCTGTGTTTCAAACGCATGTCGGTTTCGTTAGGCGTGTCTTCGCCCGGTTTGAGTTTGCATTTTCCCCTAGTCTACTATCAGCATACATTCGCCCACTCACAGAGTACGCTATCCAGGCATTGAATTAATGGCGCAACGTGATTACAGAGTGCTGGAGCGTCCACAAAGAATGGCCACCAAAATGGTTAGGGGGTTGAATAGCTATTCATACACAGAAAGATTGAAGCTGCTGGGGTTATATTCCAATCATTACTGGTGCATCAGAGTAGACAGGATTATGTTATACCAAATAATCCAA